GTAAGACTTTGTCGAGCTAGAAGGGTCGTGGAAAATGCGTTTGGTATTTTGTCTCAAAAATGGCGAATATTTTACAGGCCATTAGAAACTAAAGTAGATACTACTATTCTAATTGTACGTACGCCATGTGTTTTACTCAATTTTTTACGGAGTAAAAGTGGCGATGACAAATACTTTCAATTCTTAGATCCCCCAGAACCCGTGCTTGGAGCTTTTACTGATATATCCTCGGCGGGCAGCAAGGCTAGCATTTTCTACTCGTGACAAATTCGTAAATTATTTTAATTCTGATATGCCTATGCCCAATATATAGAATGTTCGTTTTCACATTTGTGTAGACTGTAAATTATTTAACAAGTTAATAAAAAATATTAGGTACATACCATTTGTATTTAATTCTTTTCCTATTTCCATCCAAATCTTGTATTTCTTTCTCACATTCCTGTATTCATCGTTCGACAAATCATACAAACAAGGATACTTTTTCACTATTTCCATCAATAATTCCGTTTTTGCCATTGAGAATTTTTGAAGAACGGCGTCAAAAACGCGGTCAAAGGCGAACTGAAATACGCCGCGATAAAAACGCTGGAACAATCGCATTCGCTTCGCACAAGTCTGAGCCTGTCCGTAAACCGCCGCGTTTTAATCTGATCGTGAATTCATCGCCGCGAAATTTTCGCAGCCAAAGCGAATATTTCGCGCCGGTTTGTGGGATGCTTAATACCCAAAATAACGATTCGACAACTGATAATGAGCGATGAAGCCCACTTCGATATGAACGGATTTGTTAATAAGCAGGATTGTCGTATCTGGACATTTTAGAGAACAATCGTGTCATTCATTAACGACCACTACATCCGGGACGTTTAATTTCTCGGTTTGGTGATGTCAACTGGCCACCGGATTTAACGGCTCCTGACTTTTTTATGGAGAATTTTTAAAAATAGGGTTTATGTCAACGGACCAAATACTGTAAAGCAGCTTTAGAAAAATATTACCGAAACGGCTGAAAATATTCCTCCCGAAACCTACCAAAAAGTGATGGAGAATGTAATCAAAGAAAGATTAAGATGAAAAAAATGGACGTATTTTATTTCATTTCACAAATATTCAAAATACAAACCAGTCAGTTACATATAGGCCACCCTGTATTAGTTACAAAGTACGCGAAACTCGCAACGCTTGCACGCTTTCTATCTGCGCGAGCCCTTACAACTTTCCTACAGGAATCTGGGTGGATATTTGAAGTTGTTATGTAGCTTTTCTATAGATGGCGCGTGTATCTAAAGCTAATAGTGATGGGTAATCAATACTTTTGCAAGTATCGAATAGATACCGATACTTTATCTGTAAGTATTCCATACTGAGTATGCAATACCGATACCAATGTCTATTCCTCGTACTAAGAACCTGCGTATACAAGTTTTAAACATCATTATAAAAGACATGCAGCCATTTACAATTGTTGAAGATGAAGGGTTCAGGAGAATTGTTAGAAGAGTTTGATCCTGCTTATAAACTTCCTTCAAGAAAAACTGTAAGCAACATTTTGTTGCCCCAAACATATGATGAGGTTGTTCAGAAAGTAAAGAATTTACTAAAAAATTCGGAGTATTTGACGATTACGACTGATACTTGGACATCCACAGCTGTTGAAAGTTATTTGGCCATAACCGTACATTATTTTTCTATCACTCTCTGTCTATAGTCAACGCCAAACAAAGTGGCGTGCACGTCATCAAGGTGGGTGTGTTGAAAAATTTACATTGTTGCCAAACTTTTTGTAAAATAATAAAATTTATTATTTACATATCTAGGTTTATAAGCAATATTAACCTCAAATGAGAACAAAAATAATAGTATAATAAAATTATAGATCTGTACTTGCATAATCATTAAGTATGACAATTATTGATCAGTTGACACTATGAAACTACCATATTTAATTGATAGCTTAAAGGTACTGAATAAAAATCCAAATGGGGTCCTCCAAATTTTATGCATGGTATTTATTTTACAGAATTCATACAGAAAAATGCATTCCAAAATTAGGTAAGCTACTGGTGTAAGCTTTTTCTGTACAATAAAGTTAGTCGGAGTTTCTTTCTTCAGCGCTGTCTGAATCTGAATCTTCATCACTCTCAAAGTTGATTATTAAAGGTTCGATGTCTGGTCGATCAAAAATTCGTTCTCTTTCATACCATTTAAAAATTTCTTGCTCAGTATGTCGAACACTATTTTTCCACATGTCTGGGGTAACCGTTTGTAGAGCCTCGTTCCACATATCCAAACAGTCTTTTTCACTGTTACCATCTCTATCAATATGTCTGTTATAGTAACCTTTTGCTATGCCCCAAATTAACTCAATAGGGTTAAATATACAATGGTAAGGAGGCAGACGAAGAACTTTGTGCCCATGTTGTTCCGCCAATTCATCAATCACGTATATTTTAGGTGGTTTGTTTCTAAAAAAGCAGTTATTTTAAGAATAGGAATAAACAAAAGAAATATAAACTGTCGACCAAAATATATATAATTAAGAAGCATTATGTACCGAGCAACAATACTCAATAGCTCTGTTTTAAACATTGTGTTTAAAAATGGTATGTTTTGATTTGTCAACCAGTCTTGGATATTTTTTTTGTCCATGCATTGTTGGGCACTTTGTTCAATATCATGCTGTGATAAGGGGCGTTATCCAGTATAATCATAGATGGACTCTCCAATTTTTCTAATAACTGATGTTGAAACCATTTCAAAAAATTGTCCTGGTTCATCTCTCCATGGTAATCGCTCAATTTTGTTTTCGAAGAAAATATCGCTTCACTACCCTCAATAAACCCATTTTCATTTCCAGCATGTAATATAATGTATCTAAAATATATTAGTTTTAAATTTTATAGTGCAAATTGTGTAAAAGTACATACCTTTTACCATCTGTTTTAATAGCTTTCACGCTTTTTTGGTTTCCATTTTGCCAAGAGCGACCTATGGTCCCATTTTGAAATATCCAAGTTTCATCGAGGAAGACAAACTGGTATAAGGCCTCAACCTTGGCTTGATTGTATTGCCTTAAAAATTCCACCTTTTTCAAAGCTATACTTGGTAGTTCCATGAGCCCTCGTCGCGGATTGTCCTTAAGCCACTTAAATCCAAGATCTCTAAGCAACCGCCTTAAAGACGTGGCACTACCATCAAATAATGCCCTATCTCTTAATCGAGACCATAAAGTTTGTATCGTAACTTGTTCTTCTGAAACCATGTGTAATATGACATTATAATTTAGTTAACAAATTAATGCAAATTTCTGATAAGTTATTATAATAAGATCTTACTTTTGTGATACATATTATAGATCACTTCTCGAATGGCACTTGTATCCAATGTCGCTGTGTTGGTTACACGTTTAATATAACTCCGCTTTTTCTTGGGCGATTCTAAATTTGCATCACTTTTCACACCCTCGGAAATACGACTAACTGTCCTTAAACTAATTTTTAAAGCAGCAGCAACACGCTACAAAAAATGAAATAAAATTTCACTATTATTAATATACATTACATATAATTATTAGTACCGTACCTCTTGAACAGCATTTAAAGGCAACAAAGGCCCGTTGTTGTCCCTTTCTTGCTCAAAGTAGTGCATTAACGAGGCCACGAGTTCCTTACACCGACTATTTAACTGTTTGGGCATCTTTATATACCAAAATTGCCTTTATCTACTCGTAAAATGAATAATTTTGTTTTGAAACAAACAGTTGTTGATTTACAGTATGCGGGGCCAAAGGATTTATAAAGATTTGAAATGCCACAAATTGATTCAGTGTCAAAATTAATACAAATGTCAGTTCCCAGTTTAAATAAGTTTCAAGGTGACAATGTGTCAACGCTGCGAAATCGGTTTAGTGCGTTTACTACATGTCGATAAGTGATTGGAGCGTTTGCAAAACATTTTATTTCGCATAATGCGTCTAAATTTATCAGAAAGCATCTTATGTGATATTTTAATAACAATGTTTATATGACTATTAACCATAATAAGAGAGTAATGACCATTTTACAATTTATATATCACATTAATATGAAACTGCAATAGAGCAATTGTTTGTGATAGAAACCTAGGCATTGGGTCGGGGAATTTTTATCGTGATGACGTGCACGCCACTTTGTTTGGCGTTGACTTTTTTTTTTTTTTTTTTTTTTTTTTTTTTTTTTTTTTTTTTTTAACGAGGGGGGAATGCATTTACGCACCATACCATAGCACGAGCTACGACGTGTGTGGGGCTCCAGGGTCTTGAAGAGATCACCTAATACCCACTAAACCCTAAACCTCCGCGTGGCCCGACTCATCAGCGTCTCGGTAGGCCATGTGTTGTGCGTGACCTGCGGTCTGCTACAACGTCTCCTCATGTGTTTCAGTCTCTGGGAACGCCGGGTTGGTTCCCTTTACCTCGCACATTCTATCGATGTCGTTAAGCGATCATCGATAGAGGGTCTGCTAGTTTCTCTTGAAACTCTTGTTTTCGAAAAATCAAGAGTTTCAAGTCATCTTACCAATATGTTGTTCCTGGTCCTGGTCCTGAAGGGTCCTGGTCCTGGTGGGTCCTGGTCGTGGCGGGTCCTGGTTGGTCCTGGTCCCGGTGGTTCCTGGTCCCGGTGGTTCCTGGTCCTCTGCATCCACGCCGTGGGGGGGGGGGGGGGGGGAGCAGCCGCAAATTCTCCTAGTCCCCTAGTCAAGGTTCCAGTTAGCGGGTGCCAACTGGGACCTTGGTCTGGGGTACCTGGTTCTGCGGTTGCGAGGCCTCTCGTCCGGATCGTAGTCCATGAGGAATCGTAGCTGCTCGTTCGGGTGGTCCTGAGCTTTCTCGAAGGTCTTCTCCGCTTTTTTCCTCATGTACTCGTGGATGGTATCCCAATGCAGGTCTCTACGCAAGGTTGAGTTCCTTACGTAGGAAGGTGCATTGGTGGCGATCCGGAGGCGTTGACTATACACTGCAGTATGTATAAATAGTCAGATTGTCAGTATTTATTACAGTATTCGATACATTTATCAAAAAGTATCGGATACTTCTGACTTCGGAAGGTATCGGATCTTTTGTATCGGATAGATACTTTTTGCCCACCACTAAAACCTAACCTCAACCTAAAGTGCAGGCAGAAGCAAAATTCAGACTGAAAATATTTTTATAAACGTATCTGAAATAGTGAAATATAGTTTTATCCTTTTTATAAAACCCTAATCTTCAGAATGGAATACGAAGTTAACGATTTTTTTAATGAAATCAATGAGATTGCACCACCAAAACAAATGGTGCCAAAACAAGAAACTGGTGGGTATTTCAATTTTCTGCTGAATATCACAACGTTTATCGCAGTTAAATATGCTGCAGCAATAGTAACAGTTAATATAAGCCTACTAGAAAGTTAGACCATCTACTATATATTACTGCGATTTTTAGTTTGGAAGCAATGTCAGGATGAGCTGACTGGTTACACGTACTACTGGAACACAAAGACAGACGAAGTGACGTGGGAGCCCCCAGCAAGCTACAAAGCAGCTTCTAAGAAAGAGACGCCGTTTCCTAAAGAGCTACCTCCGCAGAAAGCTAACCTGTACATACCTCCTAAGACTGTAACTACCCAACCGCCTGGCGCTGTCAAAATATACTCGATAGGGGAATGTTCGCAACAGACATTCAAATTGTCAAATGATACAGCAGGAGGGGGTAGTAATAAGAAAAAGAAAGTGAAAACCGCTAAAGACAGGGAATCTGTGCTTAAGAAATTCTTGGGGAGAGATAGTGAGTCCGAGGATGAGTAAGTATCTGTTTTTATTGTATTTTCTATGGAAAGGTTTCTTAGGTTTCTTAACAGACATATTTAGGGGTTATTGCAGGTTTAAAATGTACGCAACAGTGTAATATGTAATTCTAAAATCTTGAAGGAGCACTTTTTATATACAGGGTTATCCAAATTAAGTGTCCACCATTAGTAACTTTGTTATTAGTGAAAATACAAAGTTGTTTGAATTAGCAAACTAGTAGCATTTTTAACGCTGGTAAAAATGAGAAATAAAAAAAAACAATTGAGAGTCGTTATTTTGATTTTTTTCAGTAAAATAACATTTTTTTAAATGGAAACCCCTGTATATTATATTTTTTTCTGTTAAAGCATCAAATTTTAAACAAAAAAGTTCATAATGACTTTTCCGCTAAAGTCAAAAATAAAGTCAAAATAACGATAAATATTTTTAATTATTTGCAGTATTATAATATTAAGACGGCTATGAAAACAACATGGCGTTCGCGATTTGACAGCATTAAGATAAGCGACAAATTGTTAAACTGGACATACTCGCAACTAGAAGGCTTTGGAAAACAATGATAAAATCAAATAATGTCAAACATTAGTGTAAATACTTGTTTATAAGCTTTATTGTGTCATTAATTTAAAGAAAAATGTTCTCCCATGAAGAAAAGTGTGATAGGTTAGAATGCTATTTAGTGTGCAGAAAATCCTCCTTGAGAGCAAGAGAATACTACAGTGAATTATATCCCGCTCGCATTCAACCGTATGAACGATATTTTCTGAGACTTTATCGAAAATTTAGGGGCAACGAAAATGTTTTTGCTAAAACAAGGGCAAAAAAAGAATTCATAATAAGCGAGGCCACGGAAATTGCAGTTATTGGATATTTTGAAGCTTATCGTGAGAATTCAATAGCAGATATTCTCAAGGACTCTAATTTCAGTTATGGTACTGTTCAAAGGATTTTAAAAAAATACAAATTTATTCCGTATAAGTACCGACCAGTTCAAACGCTTTTGGCAGGGGATCCAGAGAGAAGACTTGTTTTTTGCCATTGGTATCTTAGCTTCTGTCGCCAAAATGTAAATAACTTTCGTTACCTTTTATGGACAGATGAATCAAATTTTTCAAATTCTGGAATGTTTAATAGAAAAACCACCATTATTGGTCAAGAGAAAATCTTTTGTTAGTACATCCAAGAGGCCCACAAGTCCGTTTCAGTTTCAACGTTTGGTGCGGTATAATTGGTTTAAAAATTGTTGGCCCGTTCTTTTATGAGGGAACCCTAACTGGTGAAAGATATGTGGAATTTATGTCAGAAATTCTGACTAATTTCTTAGACGAATTGGATCTTATAAGTAGACATCATCTGCATTTTCTAAGTACTACTTTTAATGATCAGTGGATAGGAACAAATGGCCCAATACAGTGGCCTCCCAGATCACCAGATCTAAACCCACTTGATTACTTCTTGTGGGGTTACTTAAAGAACCAAATTTACAAGCGAAGGTACGATAACCTTGACGCGTTAAAGACTGCAGTTAGGGAAAAGATAACCCAGATAGATGGTAGGACCATACTTAAGACAGTTCGAGCAGTTGAAAAACGTGCCCAAAAATGTATTGAAGAACAAGGTGGTGGTTTAGAGCATCTTCTTTAAAAAAAATTGTTATTGTATTTTGTAAGATTATAAGTTGATGTTGAAAATAAAGTTTGTCGATACAATTTAATTGTTTCAGATTGGAGGCCATAACTTCAGCAATTTGTAACCTAGGAGAAAAGTTATTGTAAGCTTTTTTGTTTAAAATTTGATGCTTTAACAGAAAAAAATATAATATACAGGGGTTTCCATTTAAAAAAATGTTATTTTACTGAAAAAAATCAAAATAACGACTCTCAATTGTTTTTTTTTATTTCTCATTTTTACCAGCGTTAAAAATGCTACTAGTTTGCTAATTCAAACAACTTTGTATTTTCACTAATAACAAAGTTACTAATGGTGGACACTTAATTTGGATAACCCTGTATATATATAGGGTGACTTGTAATGTCATGTATTCCTGTTAAGGGGTGATAGATTAGGTCAAAAGCAACGATTTTGTCCTATCATGTCTTATCCAAAAGTTAACCATTTTTGAGTTATTTGAATTTTAAGTTTTTTATTTTTTATTCTGATTTCAGACGGTTAAAATTGAAATACAAAAAAAATGCATGCTTGATTTTGAGTTTTTTGTTATCGTCGCATAGCAGACATTCCTATAGTCCATAATAAGTAATAAAATGTTGAAAAGCTACAAACGTTTTAAGATTACGCTTTTTAAATGTATCATTTTGTTTTTTTTTAACTAATTTATACGATAAAAAATGCAATTTTCTGTAAAAAATCTTCTAGTAATGAAACGTGCAAATTATGCAAATAATATCTCTATCTAACAAGCTTTCATTTGAGGTATTAAGCGTTCAATTATCTGAAGTACATGCAGAGAAACAACAATGACACCCACAGAGGCTGGATTTTTAAGGAATTTGTATTACCTGTTTGAACAAGTCATTACTGTCCTCAAAGGACTCGCATGCCATGATTGTTTTATGGCATCAGCTGGACGAGGAAGCGAGCGAGAAGATGTGACTTAGTGGAGGAGAGAGAGAGAGAGCTGTTATTATTCATGTTATATGGCCATAGTAACTATGCAGTTATTATACAATGTTGCACCAGACGCTGTGTCAGCATATGATAACTTCCGTTGCTAGAATAGTGCCTTTGCTGTTTTCTACTAATTCTTAGTCAGCTTTCCGAATGTGTAAATAGGCCTCGCGGCCACATCCTGTTGTTCAATACCCGGCGCGACACCGTAATGTACGCTGACTGATAAGTTCAATACCCGGCTAGGCACCGTAACAGTCACTTATATAAACTTTGTTGTTCAATACCCGGTTAGACTCTGTAAATATCACATTTGTAAACCTTTGTATGGACTGAAGCTTCAGCCCTCAAATAAGATTTTTAAAAAGTTATTTCTAAATCTAATGATTTAAGATTCATCATTGTAGTTACGCCAGCGCCGCACGCCGAGTGAGAATTAGGTTTATTTGGTATCAACTACTGCGTACGCGCACACGTTTTACGCACGATTATTATTTTTCCCAGTTCATTTCGAGTGGTTTCTTTATCACGATGGCAGACGCAGAAGATCCGCCAGGACCTCGCCATAGCGAGCACGGGTAAACGTTTACAAATGAAGAATACGCAGACATAATGTTCTGTTATGGACTTTGTAACGGCGATTCTGCAGCTGCCCGCCGTGAATATCGGCAACGTTTTCCGAATCGCCGAACACCTCATGTTACTGTGTTTGTCTCTGTGTATCGGCGCATCCGTCAAACCGGACGTGTTCAAAGCAACATAGTGATGCTGGTCGACCCCGAGTCTATCCTCCTGAAGATGAACAGGAAATCCTTCGTGTGTTTCAGGAAAACCCTACAACGTCTACGCGCATTGTGGCTGCTCAGTTGGGTATATCACAATACAAAGTATGGTTTATTGTGCATACTGCAAGATTATACCCTTATCACTACACGCCTGTGCATTTGATTGAAGAGGGCGATCTTGCAAGACGATTAGATTTCTCAGAAGATCCAGACTATTTTAAGAAAATTCTGTGGACCGATGAATCGAAGTTTGATAAGGACGGGATCACTAACTACCATAATGCTCATTACTGGGCTGATAAAGAAGCTTTAAACCCCCGAAAAATAAGACCGACGGGGTCTCAGAGCCGGTTTTCAGTCAATGTGTGGATGGGCATCATTGATGGACATTTAATTGGACCTCATTCGCTGCTCGCCAATTTAAATGGAGAAGTGTATGAAGAGTTCTTGAAAAATCACTTGTTTCCATTAATGGAAGACGTCCCATTGGCGACGAGACAAAATATGCGGTTCCAGCACGACGGCTGTCCCGCACACTACAGTAGATTAGTACGGGCGTATTTAGACTCTAAATTTCCAAATCAATGTATTGGCAGAGGCGGGCCCATTGCCTGGCCAGCAAGAAGCCCAGATCTCACACCGATGGATTACTATGTGTGGGGACATACGAAAAGCCTGGTGTACGATGTTTTGCCCGTACCAACGCGCGGTGAATTAATTACAAGGATAATCAGTGCAGCTGACCAAATAAAAAGCCGCTTAACAACTAGGGTTACCAAAAGTGAATTACGTAAGAGAATGCGGGCGTGTATTCGTAACAGGAGATTAAAATTTGAGCAGAATCTGTAAAATACTAAAGGAAATGTAATTAAATGAAACTGTAATTAAAATAAAAGCCTTTTATTTATCCTACGTAATTATCGTTCGTACAACTTTACTCATCTTTTTTTAATTTAATGTCTTTGTACTTGAGTTAGTTGTAACTTTTATACCTCAAATGAAAGCTTGTTAGATAGAGGTATTATTTACATAATTTGCACATTTCATTACTAGGAGATTTTTTACAGAAAATTGCATTTTTTATCGAATAAGTTAGTAAAAAAATTAGGAAAATCATACATTTCAAAAGCGTAATTTTAAAACTTTGGTTTTCAACATTTTATTACTTATTATGAACTATTGGAATGTCCGCTATGCGGCGATAACAAAAAACTCAAAATCAAACATGTTTTTTTGTATTTCAAATTTAACCGCCTGAAATCGGAATAAAAAATAAAAAAAAAATGATATTCAAATAACTCCAAAACGGTTAACTTCTGGATAGGACATTATAGGACAAAATCGGTTGATTTTGACCTAATCTATCACCCCTTAACAGGAATACGTTACATTACAAGTCACCCTGTATATATATACAGGGTCTCCGCAAAGTTGGGGTTTTCCTTTACACGACGTGTAGATCTTGAAAACATAAGCAATTTTTCTTAGTACCATATACACCAATGTCTTAAGTGAACCGAGATAAAGGGCTCTGCAACATCAAAAATATCTGAATACCGTCCTGTAGCCGCGGCATCACG